CTAACACTTAGTCACATTCTACCGTCTTCAAGACAGAACATCCAGGATGCTGCCCCGGTTAACGACGGAACATAGAAGATGGGTAAGTCGCAGTAGGCCTATAGGCTCATGCTGCGTCACTTTCCTTCACCTCAATATCAGTTATATATTCGGCTGGTCCAGCTAAATTGTATTTTACGGGCTAAAATGTATTCAGTTCTACTCTGCCTCTGAAAATGTTGACGGCTGTGTTGACGGAAGCCTTTAAGGCTGTGATCATTTCTCTCTCCTCTACCTTCAATATTGAGACTATCTCAGAATGGGTGTTAGGATCGCTACACAATATATTACAGCAATACAGCCAGAGTATATATATATTTATTCTTTTGTTTTTTTCAGAGAAAATATGAATTTACATATGTTATCCTTATATATTAAATATTCATAAAATATTCATACAATACATTGTCACATACAATACATAACTGAATATAAATATAAATTTAGTGTTTTAAATTTTTTTAACACAAACTAACCAGGATTTAAATTTTCTTACTTTTCAATTGAAACAAATATGCACAGAGACGAAGCCAAAGCTTAAATATATAGTATACTACAAGGACATGACCAAACAAATAACAATTACAGAACAAATAACAAACAAGACACCGTCATACAATTAATGAGACGCGACAAAGGCATTTGACTAAACCAGAAGACAGAGTGGTAAACCAACATGGATATACGAAGGCGAAGCTGTGGAGCAGTAAGAGGATATATGACAAGTCGCTCCACAAGTTCCAAGACGACAGCTCTCCTCTCCAGAAGGCGGCGAGAGGCGCGCAAGAACCCACCTCCCCCAGCACCCTCCTTGCAAGACACGCAGACGCGTGGGTGCAGATACTGTCCGTCACTCCTGTGCTCCTGTGAGGCACTGGTCGCCCAGTGAGGGGGGAATTTTTCGTCCCGTACGCCACAAAATATCATCCAAATGGACACCTGGGATGCGCATTTATGTGATGTCTTTTTTGGATTGAGAGACTCGCTGAGGGGATAGGCGACGATGGGTGAGATGAGCCAGGAGAATTAGGCTCATTTATTGTCGGTAACACTTTGCATGATCGTCCACCTCGCGGATAACAAAGTGATCTCATTTGTTGCATCCGTCAGAGCCCCGCGTCTAAAGAAACGGTGACACCGGGAGCTAAATGCACTGAGAAGCTCTAAGCATTATGAACTAATGTCTTCCCCCACCGTGCGTCTTATTAGCATGCGACGGACGCAACCCGACTGTCATCTGTCTAGACAGTTGATACCGAATGTCATCTGGTGCTTATGATTGGTTCTTTATGCTAGTGTTCTCTAGCGACCTCAGGGTTCCCGGATAGACCGCGAGGAGAGAGAGAGAAGAGGAGAGGAGGTGAGTTATAACGTATCCGGATATGACTGTCCGGATAACCCAGAACGGATACGCGAAGGGGGAACGAGTCGCCGAATGACCGCTGGCAACGCCACAATTTTTGCGCGCGCACTAGATAACACTGCGGGACCTTATGGTTATAAAAATGGCCACAGTCAATATGGTTATCGGGGTAAACTGCGGGCGGAGATCCACGTCTTTCCCGGGGGTGTCTGCTGGGGCCAAGTGTGTGTGTGTCCGCTCCCTCCGTGGCTACTCCGTGACCGGCCCTCCCGAGAGTCGACGCCTTAAAGAGATGGGGAAGGAGAGCGCGCGGGCGGTCGCCGGCTCCACCCACGGCCGCATACTTGGCGGTGGAGGCCGTGGTGGTCCACCCCCACACGGTGACCTCAATGCAAAGTAGCAGCGGAGAGATGACAGCGCCGTGAGTGGCGGGTCTCCGCCGACACCCAGGGTCGTCAGTCACCCCCCTCTTTGATTTATAGCCACTGAATTAGTCGTCAGTAGCGTTCACGGTGTCGTCGGTCAGACTCTATACCAATACTTCCACCAAGCAGCAGCAAACAGAAATAAGAATATTTTAGTTTCCCCTTCACTAATATTCCTCCTGCTGCTTCTAACAGTTCGTAACCTGTCCCCTTGAGACTTACGAACGCAGGCAATCCCATCCCCCCATTTCTTCCATCCTGGTAGAGCGGTTAGTAGTAATTCCCGCTGGTGGTGATGAGGTTATCTTGAGATGATTTCAGGGCTTAGCGTCCCCGCGGCCCGGTCCTTGACCAGGGCTCCTTTTTGTTACACATTCCCAGGAAGCAGCCCGTAGCAGCTGTCCCTGCTATAGTGGTGATGGTGACAACGATAATGCTGGTTGTGAGGATGGTGGTGATGATAGTAGCGGATGCAAAGTATAGTGATGCGAGCAGGTAGTACTGGTGGTCGGTTGGTGGGGGGGGGGGCGGGTTGTTTGACTCGATGATTGCGAGGGGGGGGGGGGGGGAAGGTGGTTAAGGCCGGTGGTGGGGGATTGTGGTAGCAGTGACTGCCGTATTGTTGCTCAAGGCATGTGGACTGAGTCTTGCCGGGTGGTGGTAGTAGTAGCGATGGTGATAGTGGGCGGACGTGGTAATGGTGGGTGGGGAGTTGTTTAGTTGGGGGGGGGATGGAGGTAGAGGTGGGCCTGGGGTAGATGTAGGCGGGGGGGGGGGGGGGTAGAGGTGAGCCCGGTAGCCAGGTCACTCACCCCTAGCTTCTCTTCACAGCTACACCTCGCAGTAAACAACATTTAACCCCACACACACCCACACAAGGCTGGGCAGACTGCATATTTCTGGACTGCCAAAAAGCCTTTGATACAGTACCACACATGAGAATGCTATTCAAACTTGAGAGGCAGGCGGGGGTGAGTGGAAAGGTCCTAGCATGGGTAAGGAACTACCTAACGGGAAGGAGCCAGAGAGTTACGGTAAGGGGCGAGAAGTTGGACTGGCGAACAGTAACGAGTGGAGTACCTCAAGGATCAGTGCTGGGACCAATTCTATTTCTAATATATGTTAACGACATGTTTACAGGAGTAGAGTCCTACATGTCGATGTTCGTGGATGACGCAAAGTTGATGAGAAGAGTTGTGTCAGATGAGGATTGTAGGATCCTCCAAGAGGAACTGAACAGGTTGCAGAGATGGTCAGAGAAATGGATACTGGAGTTTAACACGAACAAATGTAAAGTTATGGAAATGGGATTGGGTGATAGGAGACCAAAGGGACAGTACACAATGAAGGGGAACTGCCTACCTGTGACGACGCGAGAAAGAGACCTGGGCGTGGACGTAACACCTAATCTATCTCCTGAAGCACATATAAATATATAACGACAGCAGCGTACTCTACACTGGCAAAGGTTAGAACATCATTCAGAAACCTAAGTAAGGAGGAATTTAGGGCACTTTACACTGCCTACGTGAGACCAGACTTAGAGTATGCTGCCTCATCATGGAGTCCCCATCTGAAGAAGCATATAAGGTAACTGGAAAAGGTTCAGAAGTTTGCAACGAGGCTCGTCCCAGCGTTACGAAGGATGGGATATGAAGAGCGCCTGAAGGAACTGAGCCTTACGAAACTAGAAAAAAGAAGGGAGAGGGGGATATGATAGGAACGTATAAAAATATTCAGGGGAATTAACAGAGTGGAAATAGACGAAATGTTCACACGGAATATTAACAGAACGAGGGGACATGGGTGGAAGCTAGAAATTCAGATGAGTTACAGAGACGTTAGAAAGTTTTTTTTTTTTAGCGTGAGAGTAGTGGAAAAAGGGAATGATGCATTTAAGGAGCAGGTTGTGGAAGCAAAGTCTCTTCATAATTTTAAAACTAGATATGATAGGGAAATGGGACCGAAGTCATTGCTGTAAACAACCGATGGCTCGAAAGGCGGGATCCAAGAGTCAATGCTCGATCCTGCAGACACAAACAGATGAGTACCCTGGAAACACAAACCGTAACTGTCTCTATTTTCCGCTTGTTACAACTTGTAATAAAGTTGTTACATCTTGGCTTAACGGGTTTATGACGTATTAGAACGTTGTCACAACTTGCTATATTGGTTGTTATAACTGGTTAGGTGTTAAAACGTCGTAGTTTCGATGTGTGTTTGGCGGGTAAACACACACGTGCACCAGCACACACCCGCGGGTGGTTGACCGTGACCAGAGACTACCCAACCACCCCGCAAGGTCACGAACCCCTTATAACGAAGACCCACGCATGTAAGATCAGCGCATCATCGCTACTAGCGCCCTATACCGCCCGACCTGAGCACTCGCCCTGCTAGACAAACGGGTGATCATCACACTAGCAAACATGATGGAATATGCTGTAGCAAATTAATCTTATACTCGCTCCATTATCTCATTATCTTAATAGCATAACCAATTAGCACTAATGACAGAAGCTACAATCCTTTCCCCAATTACAGGTAATACTCTTCTTATCTTGTTGGAGGGAGCTGAGGTGTAGTCACCATATAAGCAAGCGATATGAGGAATAGCGGCACGGGAGACATCTCCCGTCACGCAGGGTGCAGTCGCACCTCCACAGATCTCCAGTATCAGCTCTTGATACTGGTAATGGCTCAAAAGGGCCACCACTTACGGGCTATTCATGCCCGTGCCACCTTTTGGGTGGCTTAATCTTCATCAATCAATCGGAATAGCGGACAGGACAATTTCCACAGTCAAGAATGTAGCACTCGGCATATGCAGTTCCAATCGTCTCCAAGACGCTACAGCTTCGACACAGAACAGGCAGCAGACTAGGACGGCATCCAGCTACAACACTCTCCCACATAGAGCTCCGCGACTCCGGCCACACTCAGCTCTCTGCTCTGCTCCAAGCTCCGTCTCAACGTCTACGACACTGCTGTATCCAAGACTACTAAATAAATATGAAACTCACTAAACATTGCGTATCTAATCTACCCAACAACGTAACATAATCGTACGCTACAATGCTCGATATCAACAAATGCATAAAGTACATTTGTAATTAAAAATGTTTGTTTTGTTATAAAGGCATTTCCGCCGCTACCCTAAATAATATGGAGGGTTATAGAGTTTGTTTTTTACCCCGCTTCCAGCGACCATAGCGGCGACCATAGCGGCGACCATAGCGGCGACCATAGCGGCGACCATAGCGGCGATCATAGCGGCGACCATAGCGGCGACCATAGCGGCGACCATAGCGGCGACCATAGCGGCGACCATAGCGGCGACCATAGCGGCGACCATAGCGGCGACCATAGCGGCGACCATAGCGGCGACCATAGCGGCGACCATAGCAGCGACCATAGCGGCGACCATAGCGGCGACCATAGCGGCGACCATAGCGGCGACCATAGCGGCGACCATAGCGGCGACCATAGCGGCGATCATAGCGGCGACCATAGCGGCGACCATAGCGGCGACCATAGCGGCGACCATAGCGGCGACCATAGCGGCGACCATAGCGGCGACCATAGCGGCGACCATAGCGGCGACCATAGCGGCGACCATAGCGGCGACCATAGCGGCGACCATAGCGGCGACCATAGCGGCGACCATAGCGGCGATCATAGCGGCGACCATAGCGGCGACCATAGCGGCGACCATAGCGGCGACCATAGCGGCGATCATAGCGGCGACCATAGCGGCGACCATAGCGGCGACCATAGCGGCGACCATAGCGGCGACCATAGCGGCGACCATAGCGGCGACCATAGCGGCGACCATAGCGGCGACCATAGCGGCGACCATAGCGGCGACCATAGCGGGCACCGCTTTGTCAACCACACACTTTTGCCTCCGGAAGACACGCCGCTTTAACCGCCCCACGTCCACGCAACAGTGTAGCCCCGCCCCTCCCCCCCACACACACGACACTACGCACGCACGACGTCGCCACACACCCAGTTGGCGCCACACCTGCGCCACCACGCTACACCCACACTATGTCCTGACACATACCACGGCTCCGCGCTTACACGACGCCCTGTCCAAGGCCAGATGAATTGAACACTTTCTCCTACTACTACAACCCGAAGGGGCGCCATGCAGGCACTGTTCAGCATCCGCTTTATACCACGCCCACAACCCCCTTGTTAATACCACGCCCACAACCCCCTTGTTAATACCACGCCCACAACCCCCTTGTTAATCCCACGCCCACAACCCCCTTGTTAATACCACGCCCACAACCCCCTTGTTAATACCACGCCCACAACCCCCTTGTTAATACCACGCCCACAACCCCCTTGTTAATACCACGCCCACAACCTCCTTGTTAATACCACGCCCACAACTCCCTTGTTAATACCACGCCCACAACCCCCTTGTTAATACCACGCCCCCAACCCTCCTTGTTAATACCACGCCCACAACCCCCTTGTTAATACCACGCCCACAACCTCCTTGTTAATACCACGCCCACAACCTCATTGTTAATACCACGCCCACAACCCCCTTGTTAATACCACGCCCACAACCCCCTTGTTAATACCACGCCCACAACCCCCTTGTTAATACCACGCCCACAACCTCCTTGTTAATACCACGCCCACAACCCCCCTTATTAATACCACGCCCACAACCCCCTTATTAATACCACGCCCACAACCCCCTTGTTAATACCACGCCCACAACCCAATGTTGTGGGGTTGATATTCAGCCCCATAGATACTCAGCAAGCATCTATGTGGTTCCTCACACAGAAATCCCCCCTGCTTGCCACAACAACGCCTGTCGGGATTTCTATCCAGGGATTATAACCTCTCATTCGCGCTGCGAAGGATTTAGAAGAAGTCGTTGTTCCTGGAAGCATTCTCTCTCTCTCTACTTGCTAAGGATCACTACTTACGTCGAGCGGCGTTGAAACCACCACCAGTTTCATCCAGGGTTCCGGCGAAGAAGAGCAAGGGACCCGTCGCAAGGGTCATTTTACTTGACTATGATGGGCCTCACTCCGCTTGTTATTGTGATTATATGATCACACCCACGGTTAGACATCTGCTCCACGCCCACGCTAGACACCTGCTTCACGCCCACGCTAAACGCCTGCTCCACGCCCATGTTTGACATGGTTCCACACCCACGGCAGACAGCGTTTCACACTTTGAACCTCTCTCCTTTCCCCTAAGTGACCTATAGCAGCTGGCATATATATATATATATATATATATATATATATATATATATATATATATATATATATATATATATATATATATATATATACCCGAATCCCTTCCTACTAACGAGAGAGTTCAGTCCTACCTTACATATTCTTACCTTTCCTTTCCTCCCTCCCCCACCTTCCCTTTCACCTAATAGTGTCTCCCCTCCCCCAACTACCCCCTCCCCTCACTTGATGATGTATGCAACATGATGATGATGATGATGATGTATGCAACAGCGTCTCGTGCAGCCGTGCCCCGAAGGCTTCCCACCAGGCATTCTCCACTACTTGAGACGCGAGTCTTGTTCTTGAAGCTCTCCTCGCCGAGCATTCATAAACAACACCTTTTAGAGAGAGAGTAACCACCTTAAATTGGGAATGGGGGAGGGAGGGAGGGGGTGGTTGACTCTTTCTCATCCACAGTATTGTATTGTATGGTCAGTATTGTATTATATAGTCGCGTGATCTGTGGGCCTGCTGCATGTAAGAATAGTTCATATTATCGGGGACAGGATGCCTGCTCATATGTATATATATATATATATATATATTATTTAGTCTTATGTCGAGGTATCGAAGTTCTACCTAGGTCAAACTACTGACTCCCCAGGATATACACACACACACACACACACACACACACACACACACACACACACACACACACACACACACACACACACAATTTTAAAACCAGGTATGATAGGGAAATAGGACAGGAGTCATTGCTGTAAACAACCGATGCTCGAAAGGCGGGATCCAAGAGTCAATGCTCGATCCTGCAGACACAACTAGGTGAGTACACACACACACACACACACACACACACATATATATATATATATATATATATATATATATATATATATATATATATATATATATATATATATATATATATATATATATATATATATATATATATATATACAACTTTAGAACACTTTCCCACCAGGAGACTCGAACCCTAGCCAGCACGAACCCTAGCCAGGTTGAGCACCTAGTGCAACAATTGCTCTCCGCCAGGTCCTGTGGTCCCATAGAGGGGTCCTATTATCAGTGAGACAGGGTGAGGGATGCCTTATGGCTTTTACTGGCCATGACACATCAATTTCAGCTCACTCCCGGGCCATTACACCGGCACTGTTTAATTAACGTGATAAAACTCCCGCCATCACAGCTAAATCGCAGAGATAATCGCTTAGGAATCGTATCTTAATTATTGTGTAGCCGCCGCTAGTCCAGGACCTGATTGATTGTATTAGCTTCTTCCAGGAGCATTAATGGGGGTTTGTGAGGGGATTGTTAGCTTCTTCTAGGAGCATTAATGGAGGGGGGGGTTGTGAGTGGTTGTTAGCTTCCTCCAGGAGTATTAATGGGGTTTGTGAGGGGATTGTTAGCTTCCTCTAGGAGCATTAATGGGGGTTTGTGAGGGGATTGTTAGTTTCCTCTAGGAGCATTAATGGGGGGGGGGGGGGTTGTGAGTGGTTGTTAGCTTTCTCCAGGAGTATTAATGGGGTTTGTTAGCTTCCTCTAGGAGCATTAATGGGGGTTTGTGAGGGGATTGTTAGCTTCCTCTAGGAGCATTAATGGGGGGGGTGTGAGTGGTTGTTAGCTTTCTCCAGGAGTATTAATGGGATTTGTGGGTGGTTGTTAGCTTCATCTAGGAGCATTAATAGGGAGTTGTGAGAGGTTGTTAGCTTCCTCTAGGAGCATTAATGGGGGGGGGTTGTGTGTGGTTGTTAACTTCCTCCAGGAGCATTAATGGGGTTGAACCAATCCAACAGGAGCCATGCTGTGGGTTCGAACCTATGTTCTGGGAATTTCCAGAAGCGCTCAAGTCGACCGCACCATGACATGGTCGACTGTCGTGAAACCTTGATAGTCAGTCCCCTGCAGGGAGACCCAGAAAATCAACAAGTACAGGGACCTAGAACGTTGTTACAGCTTCGTGCCGATAGGCTCTGAGACTCTGGGCGCCTGGGGTAAACGTGCACTTTAGTTCCCAAAGAAGGTGGGTGAGGAACTCATTGGGAAAACTAGAGACTCAAGAGCGGCCAGTTTTCGGTTCCAGCGCCTCAGTGTTGCGAGCCAGAGAGGAAATGCTTACTGTATCTTGGGCACGCACCCCAACCTCCGAAGAGCTGGATGAGGTCTTCGAACAGTGATTGTTATACGTGTGTGTGTTTTCTGTAAACTGTAGCAATGTAATAAATAAAATTAATACAGAAAAATAAAAAATAGAAATAAAAAATAAAAATAACAAATAAAAATAAAAAATAAAAATAAAAAAATAAAAAGGGTGGTAGGAGAAGAAAATATTAAAGTGTTTAGTGAGAATCCATAAGTTCCTCTCTGAATATTTTTTTTATTTTCTTCTTTCTTCATTATAATAATGACACAGTGATAATGATGGTGAAGAAAGTGATGATACAAATAATGTGACGATAACGACTATAAGAATTACTACGAATATAATAAAATAAACATATTCAAGAAAATAATTTATTGTAGTTAATAAAAATAAATCCCCCAAACCCCCCCCCCTCCTTTCACAAAACGAGACGAGAAAAATACAATATTATTTGAACTTAACAATTATGTAGGTGTTAACCGCCGTGTGGTGAGGGTGATATATCATGCCCCAGCCCAGTATACTCAAGCATAATGGTATATCTGACAGGTGGAGTATGCGCACAAGAAAATGTGTGTCCCAACATCGGGGAGAGAGATTGTCATGGTATGA